TTTAAACTCACAACACCCTAGGACCACAACACTCAAGTCACAATTGTAAATTCATCTTCCATATGGACACATATACAGATAAATATTTTAATGGAAACTACACATTTCTTAAAAAAAAAATCCATAGGAAAATATTTCCCAGTGTTCACTCAGGCAGGAGAAGAAAATTAGTTTAGAGCAAATATACATAGACAACTGAAAAAACAGGGAAGATTAAAAATGAATTACTTAAAAAGACAGACACTAAACTTTTATCAATTATGCTGAGATAAAAATGAGTAGTATAATTAATATCACAAATATTTGATATATATTTAAATGTTAATATGAATATGTTAAACTTTTGTTCAACTTAAAAATTTTTTAAATGCAAGATTCCAGTACCAATTAGAATACAGTGGTTTTCATTTTTAATAACTATATTTGGCATGGTAACATGTTTTTATTTTGTCAATGATATTCATTTCAATTGTTTTTAAAATGGCAAGTCATTTTAATACTCTGCAACAACAGAAATATGCAGGATGGTGCATACCCAATCACTTGCTATAGTTCATACACAGTCTTTTTAAAAATTTAAATATAGGGGTGCATGTGCAGGTTTGTTAGGTGGGTATATTGTGCAATTCTGGGGTTTGGGCTTCTATTGAACCCATCATCTAAATAGTGAGCATAGTACCCACTAGGTAGTTTTTCAACCCTTGACCCTCTTGCTCCCTTTCCTCTTTTAAAATCCCCAGGATAACATGTTAATATTTAAAGAGCAGTTTTCAGTGTACAATAAGTACTTGTATTTCAATTGATAGCAACTAATTACTTAAATACAACAATTATAAAGCACATACTGTATGCAAAATTCTGTAGTAAAATAAAGATTAGTAAAGAAATCATGATTCTCATCTTCACTGAGTGCATAATCTAGGAGAACATATACAATTATAAAAGTTAGAAATAGGTACAAATAAAGTATCCTCGAAATTTATGGATGAAGAAATAACCTGCACAATGGGGTGGTGATGGTATTGGAGATTATGGTGCAAGGGTTCAATCGCAAAGAAAGATTATAAATTAAGCCTTAAAAGATGGCAGGATATGAAGAAAGAGAGCAGGAAAAGGAGTTTCAAGAAAAACGTAAGAACACAGCAAAGAGATTAAAGAGGGATGAGATGAGATCCAGGGAGGCCAGTCAGAAAAACAAGTAAAAAAAAAAGCAAACAAAAAAAAGTCTAGGAAAGAAATAATGAGAGTAATGATAATGATGAGTATATGGATTTGAAAGATATAGAAATCAACTCTGCTGGATGAGGCAACTGACTAGATACAGAAAGTATTGGTGGTTGATTAGAAGAATGGGAACATCATTAACAGACATTGGTGACACAAGGAAGAAGAGTGGGATTGGAGATGTTAAGACGCTTGCTTCCACTTTACATAGATTGGCTTACATTGCCTAAACCAATGTATTACTAATTTGTAATTACTAATTTGGCAATGTCTAACAGGTAAATTAAAATTTAGGACTTCAGTTGAGGAGGAGGTTAGGGCTGAAGATAAATATTTGTAATTCATCCAAATCGATGTGATTATTTAAGCCATCTGAGTAAAATATGTCAGTGGATGGAGCAGTGATCTTCAAAATTGATGAGGAATCAGAATCCCCTCTAGGGTCTGTTAAACTACAAATAACTCACACTTTCAGAATTTCTGACTCAATAGGTCTAGGATTGGGCCTGGGAACCTGTATTTTAAAAAGTTTTGGATTACCTGAGCCCATGGGTTGGAGACCAGCCCAGCAACTTGGTGAGACCTCGTCTCTGCAATAAATCAAAAATTAGCCAGGAGTAGTGGCGCATGCCTGTATTTGTGGCTACTTGGAAGGCTGAGGTGGAAGGATTGCTGGAGCCCAGTGAGTCGACGCTGGGGTAGTTGTGAGTGTGTCACTGCCCTCCAGCCTGGGTGATGGAGTGAGACTCCAACTCAAAAAAAAAAGTTCTCAGGTTATGTTGATGTTGTTAGTCCAGAGTCCATACTTTGAAAATCACTGATCTGGATTAATCAGATTTATTTAATCTCAGCATTAACTTATTCATAAAAATAACTATTGCCAATGTCAATATCTTTTTTCTATATACTCAAAATAGTGTGTAACTCTACTTTTCTAGCAACTGAAATTGGAAATCATATTTCTATTTACCATTTATTTTGTCTGTTAGAAACTGTCTTGTCAATCTATAATTGAGAAATCAAGGTTGTCCAAAGAATATGTTCCAAAATATGACAGCGGTGGGAAGGTTCTAAAAATTATTTCTCTTCAGACTGGGCTGCTGCACAAGGTTTCTACATTCTGGTGACAGACTTTCTGGGCCCTTGTTTGGTGGTCTCCAGTAACCTACTAGCTTTGTCAGCAGCTAAATATTTATTTGAGACTTTTGTCCTATATAAGCAATGATTTGAAAAGCACTTAGCTGTTTACTTTTCATCTCACTATGAATTATTTATCTTTCAGTCTGTTAATGGCTAATTGTAGGATTAAACAAATTTTGAATGCTCTGATAAGAGGATTGCTGCATCAAAATTCATGCATAATCCGTAAAAATCACATGTACCCTACAACCTCAGCTAAGTTGGCATATGAAACAGATTCAGTGAGCATATGTTTGCAGGGCAAATTATTAACCAGTTAACATCAGCAAATTTATTTTTGAAACAATAAGTTTATGCACACATGCATTCACTAATGAGAAATAATATTAGTTTAAAAAATCCAATAAAAGCATACCTTGGGTAGATTTCTCTACTTTTTTCCTCTTTCTACTCTGGCTATTATAATTCATCCTCAGCTCATGGTTATACTCATGCAGAGTTTCCCTGAAGTTGTATGACTGTCTTGGTTTTCTTTCATCTTCACTCTCTTCTGAAGAACTGGTATAAGCTAGATCCATTTCATGCTTGACTTTTGACAGAGGTTGGTAGGGTTTGTAGTCTGTTTGCTCCATCTCTGATTAAGCCAGCTCAGTTTCATGAAAGAAAAAAAAAAGGATGAGGAAGTCCTTTAATGCAAACCGTCCTGAAAGAGAATGGGAAAACACAGGCCTTCTGAGATTTGTCCTTTTGTGAGGAAATGCATCTGGCAGATTCACAATTGGTCCTGATAATACTATCAAAGGAGTGAAGCAAAAGACAAACTAGATGACATGAAGCTAGTTGGAGGCAACAATAACACTTTGTGTTACTTGCAGACATTGTCAAGCCTTTAGGATTTAAGCTGGAGGTTGCAGCACCAGAAAATACTCAAGGTAAAAGAGAGACAGACTTCAAAAATATTTGTATTGGAACGCAAATAGAAGACAATGCTGTTCTATGTTGTTTGCATGTGTGTGTGTGTGTGTTTAATGTTAAAGTCAGTGGTCAGATTTGAAAGTGTTGAGGAGTATAAAGATTACTCAGCACATTCCACATTTGAAATAAAAACTGGTAAGAGAACTATATTCAGAAAGAACACATTCTTGCCTCTAGTTTAATATTACATTTTAAGACAGGGGCTCTGAGGAAGGGAAGTATTTTGAGTGAGAGAGCTCATAAAATAAAGAGTCCTTGAGGGGAACTGAGCTCTTTGTGTTCCTATTGTGACTTTTGAACCTCAGGCCTGCAGAGCATTTTTAATGAGTTAGGTGGTAGTAAATTTTTGTTCTTCGTAGTACAGAGAGGATGTAAACGACACTTCTGGTGAGTGTCCTGGTATAGGAACAGCAGGATCTAAATCGGTTTTAGAAATAGCAGTTTTAAACTTCATGATAAATCACCGAAAGAACCCCCTTTCCCCACAGAATACTGAGCTAGGAGCGACTGAAGCTCTTAGGGCCAGTAGAGGCATTAACTGCCCTACTTAGCACAAAGAGGTCTGAGAAGATCAAGTGCCATCTGAGATGTCAAAGTCTTCAGTAAAGTTAAAAACCCTGTAAACATGTTCCTATTTTCATTCTTCACATTATTTTATCACCACCATTTCTTTCCACTGCTGTAACTTTGCAACTTGATCCTTTCATATAATTTTAAGATTTTACTTTGCAGTGATATTGACTCTTATTTTTCTTCATCAAATGTATTTTCCAAGAAATTTACAGAAATCTAAATGGTGGCTCATCTCCCATATATACTGTCTTACCTTTTGGAATTCCTATTGCATTTATAGCAAGCACAGAGAACACACGAATCACTCAATAAAGGCTTATCGATTGAGTAATGTGTTTAAATGGCTTACACTGTAGTATAAATGAAGTTTCACAAGTCAAGATCATAATTCTCTAACTAAATGTTAAGGTCTTTGAGGTAGGATTTGAGTCTTATGCCTCTTTATCATCCCCACACCACTTAGCACTATTCTAGGCACAGACATTGTAGAAACTACTTAAACTCCTAAATCTACAAACTTACAAATTCCATAAATGGTTTATGGAGACACCTAGTTTGGTTTGAATTAATACCAGAGAGAGCATGCTTAGAGAGAAGGTAGATACTATATTATCAATGAATATATAGAGAGGTGATTCAACAACAGTCTAATCTCATGCCATCTCTTGGTGCATACTGTCTATAAGTTCATAACTCCTCAATTTGTAGTTCCAACATGGGTCTCTCCCCTGTGCCACACACTTGAATATCCAACTGATACCTCTACTTGCTTATCTAAAAGATGTCTCAAACTTAGCATATCAAATCTGAACTCCTGGTTCCCACCCCTTCCCAAACTTGCACCTCTCATGATCTACCACATCTTAATATATTGTCTACTTAGCTCTTCTGTTTGCTCAGGTTAAAGAACTTGAAACCATCCTTGACTCCTGTCTTTTACATCCCAAATGCGATCTATTAGTAAATACCATTGGTAATACCTTTGAAATTTACCCAGAATCCAAACAGATTTCTCTCCTTCTCTACCACCACACCAATTCCTGCCATCATTTCCCTCCTGGACTATCAAAATATTTTCTTCGGGAGGGGCGGGGCCGCCGCCGCCGCCGCCGTCGCGGGCTTGGTGGGTGAGGAAGGGCCTAGGCCTGGGCCTGCCGTGGGGCGGCTCGCCGGGCGCCGGGGCTCGCTTCCTGCCGCCGCCTCCGCTCCAGCGTCGCCCATCTCCCCTTCCCGGCGGGCTGGGCGCGGGAAGACGGCCGGAGCCATGGAGGACGAGGTGGTCCGCATCGCCAAGAAGATGGACAAGACGGTGCAGAAGAAGAACGCGGCTGGTGCACTGGATTTGCTGAAGGAACTTAAGAATATTCCTATGACCCTGGAATTATTACAGTCCACAAGAATTGGAATGTCAGTTAATGCTATTCGCAAGCAGAGTACAGATGAAGAAGTTACATCTTTAGCAACGTCTCTCATAAAATCCTGGAAAAAGTTACTAGATGGGCCATCAACTGAGAAAGACCCTGACGAAAAGAAAAAAGAACCTGCAATTACATCACAGAATAGCCCTGAAGCAAGAGAAGAAAGTAGCTCCAGCAGCAATGTAAGCAGCAGAAAGGATGAGACAAATGCTCGAGATACTTACGTTTCTTCTTTTCCTCGGGTACCAAGTACTTCTGATTCTGTGCGATTAAAGTGTAGGGAGATGCTTGCTGCAGCTCTTCGAACAGGAGATGACTACATTGCCATTGGAGCTGATGAGGAAGAATTAGGACCTCAAATTGAGGAGGCTATATATCAAGAAATAAGGAATACAGACATGAAATACAAAAATAGAGTATGAAGTAGGATATCAAATCTTAAAGATGCAAAGAATCCAAATTTAAGGAAAAATGTACTGTGCGGGAATATCCTCCTGACTTATTTGCTAGAATGACAGCAGAGGAAATGGCTAGTGATGAGCTCAAAGAGATGCGGAAAAACTTGACCAAAGAAGCCATCCGAGAACATCAGATGGCCAAGACAGGTGGAACCCAGACTGACTTGTTCACATGTGGCAAATGTAAAAAGAAGAATTGCACTTACACACAGGTACAAACCCGTAGTGCTGATGAACCAATGACAACATTTGTTGTCTGTAACGAATGTGGAAATCGATGGAAGTTCTGTTGAGTTGGAAGAATTGGAAATATGTCTGGACCATTAAGAAAACGGATTTTGTAATTAGCTTTAAAACTAGGCCAAGCAACTAGTTTCCTGCAGATCAGATTTTTAAAGCAGCATATATCCCTTGGGTTAGTCTTTGTTTTTGACCTAACATCTCTTCCTTAAATGCCTTCAGTAGTTTCAGATCAGTAGGGAGACCATATAATAATTGTATGGCATCTCTTTCAAAACATTTCCTTTGTTTTTTAAATAAGTTGTTATTAAACTTTTATCAATTAAACTTCTGGCAGTTTATTTTAATATTGTTCCCTTCTTAAAGGAAAATGTACCGTAACTTACTTTTTACAGTGTGAAACATACACAGTAAAAATTCTCTGTTATTCTTTGTTACTAATACAAAAATGGAAATTACATTTTTTTTCCTATATTGGCATGTATCTACAGATATTAGGGGAGGAGAAAAGGTAATATAATTTTAGTTTTACCAAATATGGTGTGTATTCAAATAATACTTGAACAGCTTATCTAAATTGTACATAATATTTGAACTAGCGTATGAATTTGATTTTAATTATTATGTTCACAGACCTTGGATATTAGATACTGTTTTGCATCTGTAACTAACCGTGATCATCATTTCTTGTAATTTCTTGTATATGTATGTTACTTGTTCTTAATAGATTTTACTTTTGGAAAAAAATATATATATTTTCTTCAGTCAACAGGCACATGAAAAAGTGCTCAGCCTCACTAATCATCAGAGAAATGCAAATCAAAACCACATTGAGATTCCACCTAACCCCAGTAAGAATGGCCATCACTAATAAAACAAACAACAGATGCTGGTGAGGATACAGAGAAAAAAGAATGCTTCTACACTGCTGGTGGGAATGCAAACTACTTCAATCTCTTTGGAAAACAGTGTGTCAATTTCTAAAAGAACTAGAAATTGACCTTCCATATGACCTAGCAATCCCCCTACTGGGAATATACCTGGAGGAACTCAAATCACTCTATGAAAAAGATACCTGTGCATGCATGCTTATTGCAGCACTATTCACAATAGCAAAAACATAGAACCAACTGTGCTGCCCATCGAAATTGGACTGATTAAAAAAAAAGTGGTATATATACATAATCCAATATTACAGTCATAAAGAAGGACAAACATATGGACTTCTCAGCAACTTGGATGGATTTAGAGTCTATCATACTCAGTGATCTATCACAGCAACAAAGGACAGAGTACCACATGTTCTCACTCTTAAGTGCACCCTGAACATTTACCATAATACTATGAGAAAGGGATTGGCAGTAGTGGGATACTGCTGGGGTAGTCGGGGGACAACATCAATAAGGGTACCTGATCTCAAACCAGGTAAAGTGGGGACCAAAGGGAAGCCCAAACTTTACCTGTACGATGACCATTTGTATACCTAATCCTGAATTGTACCCATTATCTTTAAAATTAAATAATAAAATAAAATAAAAATACTTTCCTAATTGGTCTCCAGCATACACCATTGCATCCCCGCCCCCCAGCACATTCACTACCTTGCAGCCAGAATGAAACTTTAAAAATCGAAGTCATTACAAGGGGACCCCACACGCACACACACAAAAAACAACACCAGAATTATTTTTCAGAAGGCCTAGTCTTTGTAGGACAGGCTTCCGCTGTCAAGTGAGTGTTTTAGGATCCCATTGGCATAGTATACTAGCTAGTGTTGTGAGAGGTTGCATTCCACTTCAGTTAATTTTTTAAAGAGCTTCTTTCAACACATTTGCCCATTTCATGATGGATGATTTAAGAGCACACCTACCCACACTACATTGGGTGTTCAGGAGTTTTTGACAAAAACAACATGACCCCTATGTCCCACCCCCTATTCACCTGATTGCCCCAAGTGACTTTCTGTATTGTATCCATGGATGGGATGGAAAAAGTCTTCAAGAGGAAACATTTTGCCAATGTGGAAGAAGTGAGACAAAAAACCACAGAAGCACTAAAAGGCATCAAAATTGACGAGTTCAAAAACTGATTTGAACAGTGAAAAAAGCATCTCAATATGTGTAATATACCAAATGGATAGTATTTTGAAGGTGACTGAAGTTTAAACATGTAAGACTAAATACACAATTTTCAATAAATAAATTCCCTTTTTTAGGGCATCCTCCCTCACATCATGTCTTTCCTTTGCTCAAAAGCAGCAATGGCATCCTATTTTTCTCAACATAAAACCAAAATCATTACAAGGGCCTACAAGGCTCCTACAAGGTATACCTCTCCCTACCTTAACCTCTCCAAATGCATTTCTTGACATTTTCCCCCATCTCTTATGCTCTAGTCACTCTAACCTTCTTGCTGTTTTTGAAAACACCAAGCATGTTCCCATCTCAGAGCCTTTGCAACCTTTCATTAAAAACCACCTCAAAATGGTACTTCCAATCCTCCTTCCTGTTTTTCAAATAATTTATTACCAAATGACACGCTACATATTTTACTTGTTTATTGTCTACCATCTGTCTCTCCCCCTTAAACTATAATCTCCATGAAGGGAAGCTTTTTTATCTCTTCTAATCATTGCTATATTCCTCAGAATAAACATTTTTGCATATAGTAGACACATCAATATTGGTGAATGAGTGAATAAATAATTGTTGAGAAGTCTCAAGAGGGACTGGATACAAATGAATAAGCCATAGTCTCTGTCCCCGAGAAATTCACAGCCTAATATAAATAATAAATGCAGGAAGTCCTCAGCATACAAATGAGTTCCATTCTAAGAGCGTATTCGTAAGTCCAATTTGTTTTAAGTACAACACAGTAAGCCTAGGTACCCAACACATGCAATTGTTTATATAGTACAGTATGTATTTAGCAGGCTATACTGATACCTGTATTGATTATGAATCTACATTTAACACCTCTCAAACCTAAGTTTAATTAAAAACATGAATAATGTGTCACTTGTAATGCCTAACATTGTGTTTTAGCAACTGTGATTTCTCATGTTAAAATCACTCTTATATTTATGTATAGAAACCTAGAGAGGGGAGAGAGATTCCTATAGCCATTTTGAACCATTTTCAAATTTTTCAGTCATAAATCACCTGGGAATGTCACATCTATTCTAGATTTATTGGAAGCAATCTTCTTTAAACTTCAATGTTGGTATAAACCAAGAGAAAAGAACACTTCCTTGTTCTCTCTGACCCTCAATCATGACTTTTTGTCTTGAAATTTTTGTCAGTGGACCTAGGTGACAAGGAAAATGGTCTATGTCTCTTTAGACACATGTATGGAGGCGCACACAACTCTGTGTGCTTAGAACTGTGAAAGTATATGACTGCAGTATTTGTCAAAGCCACCAGAAGAGGAGCTTGGATTCATTACCAAATATTTAAAAAATAAAAACTAGAAAATATTAAGAAATAGACGAATATTTTAAATCTACCAGTGGTTGAAAGCACAATCATTTTGAAAGAATGTTGTTCCAGATACTCTATGGTAAAGGACAGGCTCATACTTGACTTAAGTGACTTTTTCATTCAATGCCCAATGTGGCATCCTGGAGGCCCATTGTCAAGTAAATGCTATTTAGGTTATTTAGACATGATGACACTGTCAACTCATAGAAAAAAAATGTGCATATAATAAAGCTATTCACATTGAAACAATTTTTATTTCTCTGTTATTTTGATAATGGTAAACTCTAAGACAAAGCAAATGTGCACATAAAACACATGCTGACATGGAGCAGAGTGAAAAACAAAGTCAATTTTCTTTGCTACTACAGAAGATTTATTCAGATAGTTCACAAAGTATAAATTCAAATGTGACCATCTGTGGTTTACCTTTGTGTTTTCTACTCTATACTTGCTAACAAGATAAACTCTACATGACTTGATAAGAAACCCATGGAGGTATATGTTCATTTATTTAGTCATCATAAGGTTGAGAGACACCTTGATATGTGGAAATTATTGGCCTTAGAGTGACAGAATCATAAAAATGACAGCAGCAACAGCAACAACAACTAAGTCATATGGCGGTTATCAAGTGCCAGGCACTGTTGTAGTGTTTTTCATGTATTAACTTCTTTCATTCTTATAGCACCCTATGAGATATATACAGTTTTTAATCCCTATTTCACAGATAAAGAAAACAAAAGAACACAGTAATTTAAGGGACTTGTCAAAATCACACAGTTAAGACCTGAGATTTCCATTCCTATAGTCTGCTACCAATGGCTGCACTCTTAACCACTATTCCACATTGTCTTTCAGAAGAACATGAGACAGTGTGACCTTAGGAAAAATCATCTAACCTTTCTTGGGGCCTGGTTTCTCTAAATGTAAAATAAAGAAATTGGATGATTTTAAAGAACACGCCCAGCTCTAAATTTCCACAGTTGTATATGAAATTAAAGGGAAGCTTAGACTGAGCTAAAAAAAAAAAAAATGGTGGATATATTCAAGGCCACATTTACATCATTTATCATTCCCCTTCTTTATTCTCCCTTACTTCTCCTTCTCTCCCTCTATCCTACCCTCTGCTCTAGAGTAGGTCCAAATACTGATTTTGGATCTGTGGGTCTGAACATATGCCTATGCATTGAGGATAACCTCCCTTCCTCCATGCTATTATTTTTGTTGCATTTCTCTTTCTTTATCACATATGTTGCCCTCCTAAAATGGAAAACTGTTCCTGGTTTACCCTCAGCACAGACAGGCTGGCCCTACTCAAAGAAACTGCTTACAGGTTGGAGCCTATGCTAAAAAGTCTCATTCTACTCCAGAAAAATAAATTAAAGAGTACATAGAACATTGCCTAAGGATAACAGGCCTTCATAGCACAACATATAAAAGAAATTAGGCCACTCAGTGCCTGGGGAATAGCTAGCATAGGGGGATAGAACTCTTTGAAATTATTACAATAATTTTTCCTCAATAAGGACCTTTTACATTAATGTAAGTTGACTAATTCAGAAAACACTAGACTTAGGAAGCTCTTAAAAGAAATGTGAAATTCTAATTAATTCTTTCCTAACCTTTTTTTTCTCTTAAGGTAACAATTAGTGAACTGCTGTAGGTATATGAAAACAAAAGCTATAAAAGTAACATAATCATCTGATTCTTCACAAAATTGAAGGAGAAATCTTCCCCCTAATTCTACCAGCCTGAAAGAGTGACTGTTGTCATTCTAGTCCATTTCTCTACTGTCACAATATACACATGCATTTCTTCATGTTGTTTTCTTCACTGTAGATGTTTTTGCATGTTTCTACACAACTTCTAAAACCATCATTTTTAATGGCTGTGTAGAGTGAATGTGCCATAATTTATATATGCCTTCCCCTATTGTTGGATATGTACATTCTTCCTTCCCCATTTGTGAATATTATAACTGAAGCCATATAAAGATACCATGAACATCGTCAATTTTTCAAAATTTCCCTAGGATAGATTCCAAGAAGTTGAATTAATGAACCAAAAGGTTTGAACATCTTTGTGATGTTAGGAAATTGTAATGATTTACACTGCCATTAGCAATGTGTGGGAACACTCTCTGCTTTCATTGTACCCCTGCCAACTTCGAGTATTATTTTTTAATGTCAATTTAAAATAAGTAAATTAATAGTGTCTTCTTTTAGTTTGCATTTGCTTGATTATTAGAAAGGCTGAATTTTTTTTCTG